ATAGATTCGAAATTTATCAAATGGCATGAAAAGTAAGTATGTTTAATTTGTGATATCTCAATCCCTTCATTTATACCACAACTACAAACTCGTTGTTTTTTTTTGTCACTGGAAACTGAGTTTGGGTTCCCAATTAAATTTAAAAAAAATAACCCTCCTTTTAACTCTAACTTCGACTTGCTAATCAAATCTCTTGATTGAATGATCAGGTTGTACAACAACGTTGAAGACATCTAGAAGCCTTCTCCAAATTATCAACTCATATAAAGATGCATGAAGGAGGAAAGCAAGGGATTGCATAGACACACACCACTAAAATCTTTAATTTTAAGGTCTGATTTTCACCCCATAACCTTGCTGTTAGATCTCAGGTATTTATTCTATCCCTTGTTTATCAAAGTTCCATTTTCTGGAGTATATTTTCCTTCAAGTTTATATAGGTTTTTATTTCTTAATTGTTTGTTTGAATGTTAATCAAAAGTTTGAGTTATGAATTAATTCAATTTCAGGTTTGAAGCTCCTGGTTTCTTTGTACTTGCTACTTTGATTGTATCTAGATAAAGTGTTAGGAGGAGGAGATGAAGATTGTGATTCCCAATTCAAAATTTAGGCTGTAATTCTTCTTTTCAGTGCCTACTATCACAAGCATGATTGAGTCACGCTCACCATGTATAAAAGTTGAGTTTGTTTGTGTGAACATCTTTTGATTTTGTAGGCTTGGCTCAATTAGGACTTGTTTAGCAAAAATTAAGATTGTGATTGTAAGGAACAATAGTACATGTTGCTCTTACCGGAGCAGGTTTGAGTGATTTTAAGAACAATTTTTCAAATTTCTTCATGAATCAGTTTACGTTGACATATCACCAACTAAGCAAATTCACCATGTAAATTTCAGTCTCTCTTGACTCCAACGAGAGTCTTATATTTTTGTTTCTCTCTTGACACCAAGCTTTTTGAATTAGATCGTCATATTTGAAACTACAAAATAATCACTGATAAATCATTATATGACAGGAGATTAGTAAAATTAACTCAAATGTATGCCACTATTAATTAGATTGTGATTTCTTTTCTTAATTTCAAAAGCAATTATTAACGTAAATATGATATTTTTCTCCTTTTTATGGATATGAATATAATATATTTCTGTTTTAGGAGCAACATTTTAACTATTTCATGGCCCAAAAAACTAAAAAAACATTTTACCTATTTCTTTATTTACTCGTCAAAAAAATCCTATTTCCGTATCTTGTATTTTATTTTCAAATTTTTTGATAATAAGGTTATAACAATTTCATTATTTATTTTTGAGAAAAAGATTTTATGGTTTAAATTTTTTCACATTGTAAAATATTAATCATATAATAAAAACCTTTGATATTAAATATATTTTTATTTAACCATTTTTATTTTACATTTTAAAAGAGTCAAACCAGTTGAACAGCATGTTCAAAAAAAGAAAAACCAGTTGAACAGGAACCTATTTTTAATTAGTTGGTTGCTATTGAAAGTTGGTTATGCAAAATATCAAAGAACAACAAATAAAAACCTGCAAAGTGATACATTTTCATATATAAGTGTGAAGCAGGAGGAGGGAAAAGGGCAGAAAACGATGGCGAAATGCGCCTCAGCCCCTCCCGGCGAAGTTCAGCTCTTCCGAACCCTCACTGGTCTTCGACAACTGGCGGGAGCCCGTCGTTTCAAGGTGCCTACCTACCTTCCCCCAATTGTTGTTTCTCAAATCTACATTCTGGTTTCTGATTTCTTCCCAATTATTTGTCTATTGAATTTTTTTTTTTTAACTATTGAAATGTTCAATTTTGAGACAAATAATTTTGCCTGAACTAGAAAGCTGGATACAGGAACTTAATTTTTTTGTTAGCTGGTGAATTTTAATCTTTTTCCATTGCACTAAAGAAAGGCCTTTTATCAATGGAATTGAAAATTTTTAGTCTAAGTACAAACTTGACTCAAAAGGGACGGATCGAATGAGGGGTAACTATCCCTACTGGAACATGCCAAAAAGAAAATGCTTAAAGAATTGCCTAATATTTAGGCAAAATCTTGCATTTCTCTCGCAAAAAATTTTACTTTATTTATAGGATTGCCCCCATTAAACAAGAATCTTGGACTGTCTTTCTCATGATGTAGGTTATTGTTTAGTGAATTTATGCTTCTGTATCATGCCTCATATTATGGTTTTTAGTTTGCACATTTTCAT